ATTTTAAATAGCCTAACAACTTCATTTGCTGCACTGCCAAATTAGAACAGAATAAAATAAAGTTAAAAAAAGAGGGGGGGGGATAAAATAAATTATACATAATTTACTAATCTGGGAACAGCTGACCATTATTATTATTATAATTACCATTACAACACTAGCAAGAAGAGGCAGTTCAACTGAAAAAAAACCCAAACCCAACACAGTCATAAAATACAAACAAAATGAACCCTCTCTGACATGGAGGATATGATCAGCTACTCCAAGTATAACTTCAGAGCAAATCTTCTGAGAGAGAGAAAACAGAAAAGAATTTTTTGAGGCAGAGGTGGAAATCAAAAAAGGGAAAACAGGAGAAAAATAAAACAGATGTTGCAGGGTAAAACTATCACACGTCCAAACCGCTCATCGGAGTATTGTCCTAAGTCTTCAATGGCATTTGCTTGTTTGCTTTGCACAAGGTCTCACAAGGTCAAGTTACACTTCAAGTGGGATTTCAAGAGGCAAAGAAAGCCCTCCCACATCCTCCTTCTCAGCCTCTCCTCCTACCTGCCCCTTTCATCCTGCACCTGGACTTAAATGGCTGATTGCACCAAGGGCTAAATTTGCCTGATTAAGGGACAATTTGCAAAATCAATGTTGCCAAGTACTGAAGACCATGGTTCTGGTGAATGCTTCAGCTGGGATCTCACTGGCACTAAGATGCACAGGGCTATTTTTGTAAGTTAAAAGTGATAACAGCAGCAATGAGTCTCTCTCTAGGAGTAGGAATTTATCAGGGAGCAACATGAATATAAAGGTGGCATTCCCAGTTAGAAAACCGACTCAGAGGAAGGCTTTTGCCTCAGCACGATCCTAAGACTTTCGTTCCCAGGCCAGATAGGAGCTCCTGCATAGCCACTGTTTGAAATCAGGGGTAGCATTTTCAGTTGGTTGGTTAGTTTAGATCTAATGCTTCTGTCCTGCTACACGGACCTGGCTTCTCTCCTTCTACAGGAAGATCAGAGTGAGAAGATGAAAACAGACTCTTTGATTCACTTGTATATACATTCTTTTTTCTGAAATAAAGTGTAACATTCAGTGACCTTACTGGAAATGCAAGAGGCTAACTTCTGCTCAGGATTAAATCCACCTTTCTCACCTGGTTGCTGTTGCCCAAGGAAGGCAAAACTGCCCAAACAATATATCTAAGCTCTCTAGAATAGTGCCAAAAATATTTTAGCCCAGGAAAACAATTTCTCACTTGTGAGAGGCAGCAGCTAGGGAAACTGAGCACCGCAAAAGTTCAGGTTCTTACATGCCCACTTTGAATATGGAAATCTCTTCATAGCTATTAGTCTTCCTTCCTACACAAACATCCCACTGATAACAACGGATTTATGCAAGTGCAAAGGGAAAAAAAGAGCCAGTTTAAAAAAAATTGCCTTTTGAATCACGAATCAGTACTCAGCCATCCTGAAGGTACAAGTTCATCAAAAGTGGACATCATGGTAATCTAATCACGCTCAGCGAGGAGGTAACATTTCCAGTTGCCCCATCCTGTGCAGAACAAATCACATTTTGGACAAGCATTTTTTATGTTGTATATGCTGCCACTTGAAGTGTAAATTAAAAGCAAAGGCTCCTTACGGACCAAGTCATTTGGAGGGTGCAGGACTTCATTCTGGAACATGCTTTTTGCTCACAATAGTCCAATATTATTAGTAGTACCATAAACACGCATACATGAAAATCCAAGACCATAAAATATTTTTTCTCTAAATTTCTTATGTCTCTCTCTCTCTCTCTTTTCACCTGAGAATGGCACCTACAGTTTCCTTTAAAAAGCAAAACCAAAACGAAAAATATATGTCTAATCTCACCAGCTGCTGGTATATCAGGTTCTTCAAGGGATTGTCTAAGATACAACACTGTCCTAACTTCAGACAGAGCAGGAAGCAAAAGAAAAGCAAAAGAAAAACAAAACAAGAAGAGATCAACCAAAATAAAAGCAAATTGGACTAGTTCAGCGCTTTAGTACAAATTTGGCACTTGCTCAAAGACTCAGTATGGTGTGCAACTGATGAAGAGAAGTCCTCTTTTGAAAGGAAATAATTGCTTGTTGGGGTTAACAGAAACAGACTCCCCACTTCCTTCCTTGCCAGCCACGCGCACAGGCACACACGCACACACACACACACTTCTGACCCAAAGGGGGGGGGGGAGGGGGGGGAGGAGGAGGAGGAGGAGACAGAGGGGGTAAAAGGAATTTTATCTTTTTTCCTTCCTGTCAGGTGCATTACCAAAAAAAAAATTATTTCTCTTTAAACTGTAGCACAAAACAACAAAACACATTCACAAGCCACTTGTTGGCACTGTGTACCTGAGTGAGAATTTCTAGAACATTGTAGAACAAACAGCCATAAAGTTTATTTGAAAAAAAAATAATAATAATAAAAGGTCGACGGGTAAGACTTCAGTGCTTGGGTATAGCAGCTGAATTACTGGCATTATTTTACCCATAGCTTATATCATTCTGTTGTTGTTGTCGTCGTTGTCTTTGTTTCCTTTCTTCTGAGCCTTTTTTCTTCTGATGCAGGCTGATGTCTATTAGTCAGCTGATGTCCCAACTAGTTAAGACTAACAGTTAAAGTAACAGTCAGTGTATGAGAAAGTTAATGTGCTTGGCCACTGGCAAGGATAAACCAGATGGGGCTTTATTTATTTTTTCTTGTCTCCTTGAAGTCCTGTAGGTCACGAGATATTTGGACCCTGATCAGTTGGCTTGCCCCGCAATGTGATTTTCACTGTCACTGCCATAGTCCGCATCAGGGTCATCCTCTTCCTCATCATAGTCATCGTAGATTTCTCCATTGACGTCATCGGTCTGCATCTCTTCCTTGATATGAGGCTCCTCGCCTTTCATGCCATAAGTGCTCTGGATGACAGGCATCCCGGGCTCCGGGCTGCTGGACACACTCGAGTGCTCGGAGGGCAGATGTGGGGAAGGCATTCCGGCCATGGCAATGGCTCCTGGGTAAACTACGCCTGCGGTTGCAATGGGAATCTGTGCTTGTTGCCTGCCACGGAGAAAAAGTAAAAGGATGTTTGAATACTGGAAGGAGTAAAGGGAGGGCAAGTACAACAGCACTTTGCAAGCCCATAGAATATGCTCTTGGGCATGCAGAGGAAGCTCCTGGATGGCCCATGCAAGACAACCCTTATATCAATATTCCAGACTCACCAACTGATGCTCTTGAAATGAACATCAAGCCCAAACCAACCTCACTGATAAGAAAACTCAATCTCTGTAAACATCTCTAGCTGCACCTGAACTACACAGCTTTAGCTTGCCTGCTTGTGATGCAAACTTCTTTACTGGGTAAACTGGGTGTCCCATGAGCTAGCAGCCAAAAATAAACATCCTTTCAATTGTGGTCCAACTTAAAAAACAAGTATTTTGAAAATCTTTCTTTTAAATAATCCAAACTGTTGGCAGGACTAGACATAAAAGTAACACGCTGCCAACAGGAGAGACTTGGAGAGGGCTAGGTAGTTTGCACCAGAATGGGGAGGTGCTGTAGGAAAGTACCAGTAGATGAGGAGAAAGCCAGGCAGGTCTCTCCAAAGAGGCAGTGCTTACTCCACGTTCATTCAGAGACCTGGCCATTACTAGGGAGAGGAACAGCGGGCTTTCTGGGGCCAATATGGATTTATAGGATGATCACTAAGGGCCTCTCACTGGAAGGTGATAATTTCCACCATGAGCAGCACTTGTGAAAAGCAGAACCTTTGAAGGAGGGTGGATAAAATTGGGAAAAGGCAGACTTAAAATGGAAGCATGCATTATTTAAAAATAAATACAAAGCAAGCAAGCAACATGAGCATTTGAGAAAATCCTCTACAGGATGCCTTTATACAGCATCTAAGCCTTGGAAACCTGTCTGCAGTAATGAAAGAAGAATTATTCCAGGCCATAGAAATTCCCTTTGCATCGAGAACACTAGCTGTGTTATGCTAGTGTTTGTTTCCCTGAGAAGCTTCAGGGTCCCAACAAGCCTAGAGGTTTAAAATTCATGCTCCTTTTGTTTCCTTGCTGCATGAAGTAATTCCATTGCAGTAATACTCTTCAGTACATGCTGCACATTGTAATGTCATCAGCGGTGTGTCCATCTGCACTGAAAAGCCTTGCCACAGGAGACAGGGCAGAGTCTCTTGAGATGAACATTCTTAATTAAGAATGAAACCCTCCCCTGTTTCCCTGCCTGCCTGTGCCCTGGCTGTACAGTAAGCCTTGCACAGTACAGTGATCCTGAAAGGTTTTCCTCTGCCAAACAGCTTTACATTTGTTTGGAACTGCTTGCTGCATTTGCAGATACTTCCTGCCTGCCATTCGAGCGAGGCCTCCCTCCACACAGTCCTTATTTCCATGTTTCTGAAACAAGCAGAAGTTGTCTCAGCTGAAGATACAGCTCTTAAAGTAGGGAGCGGATCTAATTTGCATTTTATTCTTAATTCAATAGGAAGGCTTTTGTTTTCTGGAGTCAGCATTTCTGTAACAAGATTCAGCACACTTAAATTGCTTTTAATATTTAACAATAGGAACACTTTGCACTTAAATGGTGCTTTTCAGAGGGTTTTTCAAATACTAAATAATTTATGATTAGTATTTTTCCACTTCTATAGGATGTCCACTCCAGAGGATCTCAAAGCAGTCTTCAGATGGTAATGTATTAGGGCTCTTAGCAGTCCAGTGAGGTGAGCTTGCCATGCTACCATTAAAGATGGGGACACTGAAACAGGGAAGCATTAAGTCCAACAGTCACAAAAAATGCCCATTCCTTCCCATTGCAATGCCTTTGGATGGACTTTCAGCATGTTCCAGCAGCTGGCATGGCCACAGCTCTTGTAAATCAAATCACTTCCTTGGTGCCCAGGCAGGAGCAGGGCTGTTGTTTAGAAGTTTAGCCCTAAATGACCTGTACCGGGTGATGCAGCAGATGGGCAACTAAAACCAGGAATGCAACTGTAGTGCTGGGACTGCCAGCATCAAACACTGACCCCACTGCAGTCATTGACTGCTTTGTCAGTAACTTCTACAAAGAATTCACCCCACGTTCTGTGCTGTAATGCCCTAGTGCAAATTATCTCCACAAATGTCTTGATTTCAATGTCAGCCTTGTTTGGAAAACCAAATAATATGCAGAATGTTACAAGGTTAATTTTTTTTCCCATGATGACGGATGCATGTTAACCAGATAAGCAGTGTTTTGGGGGCTCTGTTGCCACCTATTCTTTTTCCAGAAGGCCCCCCTCCTCTTTTTTTAATCTCTTGATGCCAAATGTTGGCTGACTTCCCTGTGTTTGTTTCAGTGCTTACCATTGGGATCACTGGACCTGCCAGCACCACAGGGTTAAGCAGCTCAAATTTCTCTGCTGAGCGGCTTACTGTAACAATGCACACTGTAGCTGTTTAAAACACTGTCTGATGACACTTAACAGTTGCTGGACAGATATTCTCTCCTTTATTGCTACTTCTAGACATTAAATAGAGAGATGTGCAACTCAGTTAATACTGAAATGATTCCAAATTCAGATGAAACAGAACACAAATTCCTTTATTTCTGAGGGTCGTTTGTGTTGCTAGTTTTGCCTTTTTTAAGACCACTGTGTAGCTTTTAATTTTCTGGAGTGATTACAGAAATATTGCAGAATATTTGATTACTTCTGCTTCTTTTGGTCTGCTGTAACCAAAACCAAAGAGTTTTTGCAGAAGGAAAATACATGCTAGTTTTCTAGGCAGATTTTAATCTAATCATACCAAGCTGATCTATTAGCTGTTTATCAGAACCAGTCTTCTTGAAATTTATGCTCAACACAAAGTATTTAGCTTACTGTACTGGAAGACACTCCCTAGTATGACAAATGCCATCACGATGAACAACATAGACAACTTCATTCCTGATAAGAATTAACTGAGTCCGTATTCCAACTGAAGTTCAGTACGTTCAGCAGTCCTTTTGCAGACCACTTCCCACAGATCATACTGAATGCAAACTTGTATTTTTGGCTTTTGGATCAAGAGGTACTACCATAGATTAATTCAGATACACTCTCTGAGGCCTCATAATAAAGTAATACTTCTCAGGCTTTATTAGAAGACTTAGGTTTCACGGAAAATCTTAAGCTTTTTTTTTTTTTTTTCCACGATCAGAGTGGAAATGAGACAGTTGGCTGAAGCCGTAAGATGAGTATATAGCAGAGCCAACAAAAAAATCCCTAACTGCCTAACTTCCTCCTGGAACACATTGTTTTAAAGTATAAGCTTCATATTCTGTTAGCAATATATACTGTTCTTGCCAATAAAATATAACATTTACCACACTGAATTAAGAATTCTCCCTGAATTTTTTTTTTTCTGAAATGAGAGGTAGTTTTTAAAGGTCCCATACCCAACATTAAAATACTGCCTCATCTCCTGGCGTCTGTTGCGCATGATAGCCTTGTACTCGCCAATGCGTAATTTTTTGCCATCTACAAGGCAGGTACGCTTCGGCCTTGGCTTGTATTTGTAGTCTGGGTATTTCTCCAGGTGCTGTTTGCTCAGTCGGGCCTGCTCCTCATAGTATGGCTGCTTCTCCAGGTTTGTCATAGCTTTCCAGCGAGACCCTGTCACAAGAAAAAAAAAAAGAATGAGAAATGAGATTCTACTCATCCACAAACACTGAAAGGCAGAGAAACAAGTAGGTCACCCTGAACAAGACACCTACGGTCATACCGCTTTGGGCTGGGAATCTGTCAGAGCTTCTAGACAGAGGTCAGGTCTTGTTTGTATTTGACTGGTAAACTCCAGCCAAGAGGCAGAGAGAAATGATACTGGAAGTCCTGACTCAATATTTTACCGAAACTTGCCTACATTATAATGTCTTTCAGGTGGGAAATAAAACCATCATCCTGATAATGAGCAAGTCATGACACTTTATTTTAGAAAACAAGGCAGTGTATTTTAGTGGAATGGCCAAAGACCCCTTAGATACACAGAGAGTGCCCTGCTACGTCCCTCCCACTTTCCTTTGGCCATGGGCCTGTCTTCACCTCCTGTTCCAGAGGAGGCACCGCTGCGGTGTGCTGCGAGCTAGCTGCTGTGCTCCAGCATGGCTGGATCAAAGCTCTGGATACGCACATGTGTCTCATGACAAATACCATCTCCTTCTAGCTTCCAGGTTTGTGAGAAGCAGAATATGAACTAATCGTAAATGCTGTGCCTACAAAGACCCTGAAGCAATGCCTCTAAAAAGCTATGAACTATGCCGTATGTCTCAGTGGGGTTTTAACTCCAAGACCAAGACCTGGTGAACACAGCCAGCTCCAACTTGAAGAATTTAGTCTGTGTCATGAAGAGAAGAGCACTGGGACACTGGCACACCTCTCCACAGAGCCGCACTATGGCTTCATTTCTGGCAGCCTTGTTTCTGACACTCTGCCTATGTTGGGGTGGATATTTGAGCTAGGGAAATAATGGAAGACTTTGCAATTGCTTTCAAATACCTCCTGAAATTTATAAACTAATATTTCTGAAAGGACATAATATGGGAGCAGAAAGTAAAATTTCTTGAATCAGCTACCCTTTTTTATTTTTCCATGAACTACAGAAGTGCTTCAGGGTAAGATACATTTCAAATAACACGAATGGTCCAAGCTGTGAAACATGTGGCCTAGAAGGAAAGCTTTATTGGAAAATAGTCATTTTCTCATTGGAAAAAAAAGTTTGAATAGTTTCTCAATTTAATGGGTTCATAATGTCATATGTCATACTTGACTTCCTCTTGTTCTTCATTTTTTATGGTTACTCATACTGTACTTAGCTCATGCTATTACTCAGGCTGGTCTTAGCTCACTGTGCCCCTAAGACTCACAATACAGACAGCGCAGTTATCCCTTCCCGGGAAAGAAAACAGTTTGGTTCCCTCTAGAAAGGCCCCTTCTGACTATTGACACCATTTTCCCCATTGCTCTTTGAATCTTTATTCCAAGCTTGGGCTTCTGGAGTGAAGGACTAACAGGCTGGTACAGTCTGATCTCACACCTAGAGATAATAGATTCGTTAATAATGATGTCTTTGCTCTGAAGAGGAGCAATAGAGATCCCTTTCTTAGTAAAATTACTTTGGAGCCAAAACCATCATTTTTTCATGATGTTTACAACATGTTAACACGCAGAGATCCTCCAGTCAGTTCTGGAATGGGCAACAGTTTAATTACATTGTTATTAGCTTAAGGCGCAGTCCCATACTAGCATGACTAGATGGTTTCCAGGATTTGGACTAAAACTGCATGGCATTTCCCAGGTCATACAGAGGTAGTGTCTGGGCACAGGGATCTGCGGCAGGGCTCTGAGTTACACAGGGCAGCAAATCTCTGCCGCCAGAGACCTGCTCAGCAACTTTGTCTCCTGCAGAGAAATTATTCCAAGCTTTTTCTGGCAAAGGAGTGGCTAGAAAAAGTGAAACCAACTTTCCACATGTAGTATCTCCTAGATTTTGGGCTAAATGGCACAGTGATAAACATGTGGAGACTGACAAAACACTTAACACCTACTAACACTGCATAAGATGGAAACATAGATAGGGACTGTGTTTAACGATGTTAAGAATATGATTTATTTAACGACAGTTTAATGATGTAAAACATATGAGCTTGGCTGGAAGATGCCCAGATGTAGGTCTACTTTCAAATTCTGCCTTGTAGACACTGGCACACCGGCATTTTAGCATATCAAGAAAATCATGAAAGTTTGTCTAAATCCAGAGTCCTGTAATCACAGACCTGCTGTAATCCCAGTGCCTTAGAAAAACAGCCCCAGTCCCCTTTACTGCTGATGCATCAGTT